CTTTTCTGCGGACTCATGCACCTTTCCGTTCCTTCACCTTCCTTCCCTGCGTGGTAACTGAGTTAACTGAATACAATTGTCAGAGTGTGTCAGCTAAGCCGCCAAAAAAACACATGTACATCCCTAAGGCACGAGAGCCACTGGTCTTCGTTCCTACTTGGTCTACTTGGTTAATGTGCTGTAATTGTCTACCTTGGACCATAGATTGAACCAGGGGTGACCTGGGTGGTACTCTATGTTTGCACAGAGCTGGCGCAACTGTTTTGCGCGCTTTGTACACTTTCCGAGGCCCATCCGAGGATTTGTCCTCAGCATGGTGGTGGTCTTGGCCACTGATCAGCCAGAGCTGCCACGCGTTTGCAGGGTTTAGGATGGCTTGGGATTTAAGCGGGGGCAAGGGAATTGGCAGAAGGGCAGAGTTCCATGAATTGACCCGGTTTAGAAAAAACATTCCGTCCTAGGTCCCACGATCCAGCGAGCGGCAGAAGTGATCCATACACGATCCGGGATCAGAGCCGAAGGATCTGGGTATCGATGACTTTTCGTAGGAGGGTTTGCTAGGGTTTGGAGCATGTCAGGAGCATGTCCTAAAGAATGCGAGTAAGCCGATCTGTTTGCGAAAGTTGGTGTTGAAGTCTTGGAGTTTCACCAAAATACCCGAAGAAAAGAGTCCAACTGAAGCTGCTGGAATCACGAGTCTGAATTCTTTGGTGCCTTTATTGTCCTATCCAAAGAGAGTCGCTGGATGGGACAGAAACCGACTTTCGATAGGTATGTGAGGTATGTGATCCACGCGCTTGAGTAAGCAAGTCAACGAGTAAGCACGGTGGGTCGTTCTCCTAGGGGCGAATCGCCATGGCCGCCGCAAGCAGAAAACCCACGAGATGGACCCAGGTGTGAAAGATTGTGAAAGGATATGTCTAACAAAAACGACGCAAAGCTCTCTATGAAGAAACGAAGGAATCTGAGGCAAAGTGGGGATTTCAATCTGAACCTGTTAATTTTGAGGGGGGGCCAATGCGCACAGTTGACGGTCGCTTAGTTGGTCAGACTTGCTTCAACATCAAGGCAGGTGGCGCTCGCGAGTCTCATGATCCTTTGCTACCTGTGCACGATGGTGCGAATGTGGCCATGGAAGGCGGTGATCCTCAACTATGCAGATGCTGCCTTGTGCATTTTGGGTCCAACTGGTTGGTTTTTCTTGTCAAATCGCTACTAGAGTCGCTAGAGACATCGCACTTAGGGGATCCGCTCATCAATGGGTCTCCTTGTTCGGGTCCGCTTGCTACTAGTTCCTTTGGTGTGTCCTCAATTCGAAAACACTGGTAACAAGTGCATCGCTACTAGCTTTTTGCTACTAGTAGTAGTGCCAGGAGCTACTAGTCAGTTGAGACTTCAAGAAAGCCGACAACCTTAATGGGTTGATGGTCGAAGGTTCATTCGAACGAGCCGTCAAAGGTTCATGCCGTGAACATGCGGAGCTTAGAGGGGTCTCCAAGCTCAATGCATTTGAATACTCAGAAACCGTGGAATCCGCAAACCCATCATGAAAGGATATGAAAGGTATTCCTGGGAGGGTTTTTCGATTCTTTTCGAAGGCACCAGTGAGAGAAGCCACGCGAAAGCTAAGCATCGGATCCTTTCATTCGGCTCAGTTGGGATCGGCATGGCTCCGTTCTTCGGACCACCTTCGTTCTTTTGGCCAAGCTCAGGTAGCTGTTTGCTGCTCTTAGTCAACCAATCTCCGCACTTTACAACTGAATCGGAGACCAAATTCACAGAGGGCTTTTCATTGGCGATTCTTGGCGAAATCGAATCGACGTGTCGACGTGTTCAAGATCTACCTGACCTCTGGTGCTTTGAGCTCGCACAACGACAGCAGAGCAGCATGATAGATGAAGAAAACATAAGGAAGCATAATAAGAAAACCAATATCACAGGGTGCAGGGCACGGTGATGGACCTTTTTGGGGAGGTGCAAGATTGACTTTGCATCAATAACATCCACATTCAACGGGGAATGCTGAGCTATCCGAGGATCATTGCCTTGGAAGCTGCATGTTTGTTGCTGACTGCGATCGTTTGCATCGTGGCAGTGATTTCCAGCTATTGCGGAGGTTCAGGACTGGAGAGGAGAACCATGGACCAGAGTGGAGAAGGGAGAGGAGAAGCGTTCCAAGACGGGTGAAACAAACCGAGATGCCGACCGATTGTAGCTCCTCAGGTCCTCAGCTCCTCGCTTGTTGGGCAGTGTCCGGACTGACCCGTTCCCTGCAGGAACGGGAGTGCTCAATCTCGGCAGTGCCAATGTGACCAAGATCTCACAAGCATTGCCCTTTGGCATTGAGGGCTGCTCAATGAACACCAGGGTTCCCGCTTTTTTGGTTTCGGAGTATCATCCTCAAAAGTGTCAGCTATTCATCACTCTGTTTGTGTAGAAGGAGGGGTAGATCCTTCGTTCCATTTCAGTTCTTTTTGGCCTTCGGCTGCTTGACCTCTCGTTTCGACGGGTCCTGGCCAGTGTAAGGCGACACACGGCCACGGAGCTCCTGAAGATTGAAGCCTTTTACCTTCAAAAAAGGCTTTGTGAAATGAACAACTATGACTTGGAGAGGATTAAGGACGTCATCACTTTGATGTCCATGGATCCTCGGATTTCTTTGGACCATCCCAGGTGGTCGGTTCTTTGTGACGGTCAGACGGGGTGAAGAAAAGCGACGTAAGAGCAAACTGATGTTTGCATTGGTTAACTTGAGATGAAGAGGTGTCCAAGAATTTGAACAAGTCTTTTTGTCAGTATGAGCTGACATTCTTGGTTCACACGCCTCACCTGACACAGGTTGCGGCATGTTTTCAACTCCGCCAGCTCAGGTTTAATGTAATGGCCAGTGGTAAAGAATTGCAGACCATCAGGCCTTCCACTGAAAAAAAGAAACACGTCCACGATGGAAGGAAGGCCTGTGTGTTTCGGGGATGGGCGAAGAAGGTCTCAGAAAAGCACCGACTACTTAGCTTCTCGGCTGTTGCTAAACACTGCCCCATGTTTGTGGTGTGGTATTGACATGTTTGTTTGGTCACGTTTTCTCACACTGGTTCATTTCGTACTCAGTGATCCATCAATTGCAACGAAAAAGGATGGCCCCATCCTTGGATCAAATGGCTCCTTAAGCAATGACCTCCAACCCAATAGCGAAAGGAACCTAAGAGCGATGGCCTCCAACCTAAGAGCGATGCCCTCCAACCCAATAGGAATGGCCTCCAACCTAGTAGCGATGGCCTCCACAGGTGAGGCCTGCTGTACCCCATTAAGAGAATGTCTTCGTTCTCCGAAGGAACCTCATGAGACTGTCTGAGGATGTGTTTCCTGACACTACTGAGCAGTACCGCTTTCACCGGCGCATTAGTCTGAATGTGGCCAGCCGTCACAGCGGCTTCGCGACGCCTGAGATGCAGATCCTAGGCATTTTCGGAGGTGGGGCAGTTGAAAACCCATCACAAGATGATTCAGATGCTATGAGATCACCAAAAAAACAATGCAGGTCAATGTCAGTCTAGTTGAAACCGCTTCGACCCGCTTCTGCCGTTTCGGGGGGGAGGAGTTTGGAGTTCAGGGGATGTGTGTGGACGTCACCTCTCCGCAGGCGTTGGATCAGTCTGTACCTATCCGCCCCCCGAAAATGAAGACCAAATACCAGTTTTCATCTATTTCTCGGTTTGTCCGACCCACTACTTGGTGGGATTGGGAAAGGGAAGATGAGTGAGCTGCCCGGTGCTGCGCAGCTGAGGAGCATACCATTCAGTTTCAATGACCAGGAGCTGGTGCCCCACGACCTGGTGCCCTGGAGCCATTTCGGGAAGGTGGTGTGAAAGGCGGCGCGATTCTGCGTGGCGAAGCATCCGATTCAAGACCGCTTCAAAGACGGCGCTGAAGCGCACAACGCATGAAAGAGACGAGTCCAGAGCTTGGAAGCTGTAGCTTCACGCAGCTTCACTTCAGGAATGTCTTCAGGGGTTCTCCGCATTTCTCCGCCTCAATTGCACCTCATAGGTTCATTCCGCCGAAAAACCCCTCGACGGGTTCATTTCGGTGTCCTCAGAGCTCCCAGGATCAATCCGAGCAGTCCCAAAGGGACGAGATCGAGGAGGATCAACAGGCCAAAAATGACGTTCCAGCCTTTAGTGATGCCAGTGATGCAGGATATTGATGTTGTTTGAATTGTAGGTTTTTGGTGGATGACATACAATCTGGACTAACCGATCACAATACATGAAAGAGAGTGTGTTTCCAGCAAGCACCAAGGAAGTGCATGTTTTATCGTCAATGATTCTTGTATGGAATGCAATTTAGACAAAATTCTATATATTAGCTTAGTAGGATTAGGTACTGAATTGGTTTTCAATCACATCAAGTGGCGGGTCTTTGTTTCTACCTCAGTCACCTCACATGTCCTTGACCCGGAAACGCTTGGTTTCTGCATCCGAGCTTTTCTGCATCCGAGCCAACTCTTCCTTTGAAGCAGGTGAAGCAGATGCATGAATGGGTGCTTGACCGAGGGCCGACGCTTTCGGAAATGATGTGATCAAGCCAAACATCCAGACATGTATAGAGGAGCATGCCGTTTGAGATTGATTCTAGATTCCATTCTCTGTGTCCGACTGGTTTCATCGAAGAACTATTGCTGTGCTTTTGGTATGCGCTCACAAAGGTGAGTTGCTACCTTGGGCTTTCAGATCTCAAGCCAGGGTCCAGGCTGTGCGCCAAGCGTTTTGCAACCTGCCCTGGCTTCCAAAGTCATCACACATCGTTTGAACAGCCTGACGTATCGGATACAAGCTACTAGCTTCTGGCCTCCAACCCAATAGAAAAGGATACATGGGAAAGTGTTTGCAGTGAACCATTGCCGCATTGACGGCCGAACGGCTTTAGGTCGATATAGTAGTTATATAACAAAATGCTTGGGGGCAATATAGGATGTTCATGTCGAATTCGGCGCATAGTGCGTTTGATCACTTTTACAATTGTTTCTGTTTTATCATGAATCCAGCGTCCCTCACCAGGAGCTGCTACTAAACCGATACCTGTAGTGTGCAAAAACCGTGGAAAATCTCCATGTATCAAATGTCATTGTGCATCGACCAAAATCCACTCTGGACGTGGCCTATGCGCCAACTGATGATCTTCTCGCCAGCATCGGTACCTGTGTCTGAAATATTACCTATCCACCTATCCAAAGATGGGCTATTGCAACAAATTTCATTGCTAAACGAGTCATTGGCAAGAACCTTGTCTTCGTTTGTTGTTCAGGGAAAGCAGGTTCAAAGACGTCTATTCCTACCATTTGCCAAGGTCGTGGTTGTTCTCCGATCGATCTATGAATCATCTGATCGGGTTGAATTGCTACACACTGTGGATCTCGAACCAGGCGCCGGGAATGTTCGATCTCGAATCAATCTAGCCAAACTTCTGTTTGATGGGTGTCCGGCTGAACAGTGAAGTCGCGAAAATATTCTACGCTCTCTCTGAAATGTCCAACCTTGGTTGCGATTGTTTTCGCTCGTTGCTGTATTATGTTATTTTATATGTTGATTCGTCCTTACCAATCTCCATAGATTCTGTCGTTCTGATATCCGAAAATATTACTTCCTGTTCTACCGGAAAAATAATCTCCAAAGCTCTCAGCTCCTCCAGTGCCGCACTAGGCTCAAGGTCCTACAAGGGTGACATTAAGTATAAACCTTGAATATATAACCTGTGGTTGATTTTGTGAACATAACATCTCTGTCTTTCAGTTTTGAATAATGTATTGTGCCATCTTGTCAGGATAAAAACCTGTGCATGCTACTGCCTTTCTGCCCATGCCAAAATTGGTCACGTTGATGTGAATGGTCACAAAAAGTTGCTGCATGAATAAGTGCTGGTATGTTGTCAGGATCATCGAAGATTTGTATATGGCTTGTATATTGGTGGAAATATTTATCCTTCAAAGACACCCATCCATCTAAATTTAAGGAAATTGTAAAGGCTTTTGTAAAATGGTAACGCAACATATCTGAAATTCTTAGATCTTTCGTAAGGACCCATTATCTTTTGCATTGTAAATATTAATGATGTGGGCGTATATATATTGGTTTGGATATTGATTGTTTGATGAATGTATTTTAATTATATATATATAATTAAATATATATTATTTATTTTATTGAATTAAGGCTTAAAATATATTTAATTATGATATAATCGATGAGATGTATTTATATAAATTAAAAACATTATATATATATATTATAATTGAATGTAATAAGTTATTTTAATATATATATGTATATATTGTAAAGCGCTATTTTAATTTGAAAGTAGCGCGCGATTTCGGACTCCTGGGGCGGCGTTATGTTTCGATTATTGTTGTATGGAGTTTTTATTGTTCTCTTATATATCGTTATTTTGGTTTTTGATTGCGTTAGTTTTTGTTTATTTGAATTGTTCGGTTTTAAGTCCGGAGAATTTTCTAATTTTACCGAAATATATTTAATTTCGAGGATTCGACGCGAGGATTATCGATCCGGTTTTAGGGAATAATATTCTACGAAACCTATAAGGCACTTTTGTAAAATGTTATGAGGCATGGGCGTCGTCGGACTTTAGCTTTATTGGGTTACGCTTACGATGCATTAGTTTAAAGCATTATTATATTAGAATTTGTGTTAAAGCTATGAGGGAAGGATATATTATTTTCAAGGGCAAATAACTATATCTTTATTAAATCCTATTTCGTATTAAATAATATATCTTTATTAATATTTTATAATTTCGAATAATAAAATTAGTATTTACATCATTTAAGCATTTCGATAATTTAATGGAATGTATCCCGTACGAGCGAATATTATTTATGGTTGTAATGGTGTGATGATAGCCTCTATGGTATTATCGCTGTTTAGGAATTCGGTTGGTTAATGACTAAGGAATGGAGTATTTAGCGTCGATATATCGTATATTTAGCTTATCGCTTTTGTTCGTTCCTGTTCATGGTGCGCATTGCATTGGTTAGATAGGATTAAATTTCGATTGCATACATGTTTATGGACGTATGTTTTAGATACGATTGAACCTTTATCGTTTACATGATTTTATAATCGTTTACTAATAGTTTGGTCTATGTAACATGTTACACGCTAGATCCTTTCAAAACGGTAACATGGGGGATAGCACCTATAATATTATCTTGAACGTTTGCTACTTAGCAATTAGGTTATTGTTTGTGGAGATTTTAACACTCCTCTCCCACACATGCCATATAAAGTACATATTGCTGATCCTAAATATGTCTAAGTTGCCTAGCGAGACAAACTGACGTTTTCTAATCTGATCTAGCAGTTCGACCTAGCTGTACTTCACTGTTATAATTATTTTCAGCCGATATTTAAACATGGCACTTATTCTAATCGAATCGACTTTGCATTGATGCGAGATTAGTTGGCCTTTGACCTCACCCTAACTGCTCACAGATTTCGTTTTCAGCTTTGACCTTCTAGGACCACATCATCATTCCCTAATTTGGACCATTCCTAAATGATATCCTGGTCCTCGACCCAAACCGATTGTCCTTTCGATCGCCATCGTATTCGACAGGAAATGAAGCAGAACACATCACGGTGGTAGGGATTCTGTTGGGAGGCCAGGCAACACTTGTTTTCGTTCACTGCACAAAACCCGTCTTTGTTTCCTCAACTAGAGAGTACTTTGACTGATTTATGCAAGACTTGGTTCCCCAAACAAATCTCCCTGCCGGTTGTTTGCAACCCGCTTGCTTCCATCACTGCACGTATGTGGCAGGCCAGGAAAGTTGTGAGAGCACTGATTGATCGTTTGCTTGCAATGCTTTTCAAGGCATGGAAACACCTGGCTTTGTTTCGCAGATACCACAAGCAAATTCGTCATTTCAGCCGCATGAACAAGCGCCAGAAATTTGAAGACTTCCTGCAGGAAGGTGCTGACTTGGCCATGCGTAATCAGATGTATGATTGGTTTGCAAGGTCTGTAAATTGTGCCCCAAGCAACGACCTCAGAAGATCCAGATGTTTGATGATCAAGGACAACCATTCACCCCCTCACTTGAATTCAAATGCATTGAGCACTTCTTTGGCCAACTCTTTTAGGATCATTCCTTTCAATATCCAGGTAATGTCACCCTCCAAATCCTTCCTTTCACCAGCGAAGATGTTTTGAATGGCCTTCACCACTTACCTGAGATGAAAGCTTTGGCCCCCCCTTGCATGCCCGCCATCATTTGGCGCCACCTTGCACCGGAACTGGCGAAACCGATCCATGTTGCCTTAGAACACTACTTGTGTGCAGACACTGTGGCTCCACCGAGTCATTGGCTAGATGGATGGTTGCACTTGATATCCAAACCAGGTAAATCTAGCACTCAGCCTGCTGCACTGAGGCCCCTCTGCCTCCAGCATCCAGTTCTCAAGGTAGTCTCCAAAATCTTAACCAGCATCATTAAACAACATGCCTATCCAACCCTTAGAAGCCTACCACTCTATGCATACCTCCCGCAGAGAGGCACCACAGAATGTCTCCTTCGAGTCTCACAGCACTGCCAGCAAATTCGACAGCTTTGTCGTGATAGACAGCAGGATGCAAGTCCTCAGGAACTGTTCGGTGGCCTCCAGGTCTCATTGGACATGGAAAAGGCCTTTGACACGGTCCGCCGCGACCTCGTGCTCCATGCCTTGGACCAAATCAATCTATCATCGGATGTTCTGCATATGATTCAGACTTGATTGGCCCCCCACAAGTATCACATCCCCTTCAAATCCTTGATTGGGTCAATCGATGCTTCTAGAGGGATCAAACAAGGATCCATTGATGTTCCCATCCTCTGGACCCTCTGTATCTTTCTAATCATGAAAGAATTTCTTCAGAGGTACTCCCATGAATGGCTGCACGAGCACCTGATCGTATATGCAGATGATGTCCACATCCGTTGGACGTTGCACAGCATTGCGGACGGCTTGAACGCCCTTGGAGATCTTGCACACATCCTGCACACCTTTCGCTCGTTTGGGTTCAACATCAATCCCACCAAGAGTATTGTTCTTTTTAGAGCGGTAGGTAAGGGGGTCTCCAAATTCACACGCCAATGGATCAGCCGGACCAAACATGGCCCACAGCTTGTGATCCCGGACACACCTTTTCGCCTGCCGATGGTGGCCAAAACAGCGTATCTCGGTGTGATAATAGGATACAGAGCTTGGGAAATTGACACCACAGCCAGACGAGTCAAAGCAGCTTAACACTGCTATTCGATCCTGAAGCGATGGCTCCAGGCACAATCCATTCCTGCACATGTTCGATTTCGTTTATATCAGCAATGTGTTGTGCCCATTGTTCTTTACGGTGTTCACGAAATGGGTCTGCCTCTCTCATGCTGTAAACGAATTGTCAGTATAATTAATGTTCACTATCGTCGCATGGCAGACTCTCCTGTCCATCTCACACATGAAAACACCACTAATTTCTTCCATCGACTGGCAGTTCAACCTCCATGGACATATATAGCTGAACATCATT